AGCGTAAAAATGAATATAGAGAAGGAAAATGTTATTCCAGAACAAAATTTTTGTAAAATTTAAGACTGATATTTATGGCAGTAAAGCGGAAGGTATAAATGAAAATAACATAGTGACAAAAAATAATTATTAATTTACATTTTCAAAATAAGGCAAGTACATACAAGAAATGAGGTTATTTCTCCCTCATTCATCGCTACAGCTGAAAACTATATTTTGCAGGTGGTCATGCATGTCTCTGCTTGAAATATTGCTATTCCAACGCAAATTTTCTTGTTTTTTTCAGCACTAAAAAAGAAATCAATGCTTATTCCTTATAGTCTTTTTTTTCAATTAGCAAAATATCTACAAATGTGGGAAATTTCGTAAGAATTTTCATGAAATTATTTACTCGATGCTACACTCTTTAAAAATTATTTCACGAGATAGTGCTTCGTTTCTGCATTAAATCACGAAATTTTCGGACCGATGTTCGTGGCGTACAATTGCGCAAATCTTCTACAACTTTCGCATAAATACTGTCGTCACCTTGTAGCACTACTGTTGATTCGTTCATACAAACAGCACCCTTTCCTTCAAATTTTTCAAAATTACACACACTATTGGTTAAGTGTTGTAGAAATTTTAAAGGGTACAAACAAATGAATATCCCTGGCTAGGAGACTGGAAAAGGACAGGAGCCTAAAATCTTCTATGTGTTAACATATGCAGTTTGTTTGGCGCTGTTGGCCCACCGTGGAGAGGAACACAGTCGAATTTAGACAGTTAATGAAAACACTGGAAATGCCATTTAGATCTCCCAAATAAGCAAGCCTGTATGTACAGTAACTTGGTAACCTATCTGTGTTTCATCCCTGATCTGTTTAAAACTTTTTCAATTGCCAGGCAAAAATGCAAAGCTCTTCCAAGCATGCAGAGCTTCCAAAAACATATTTTGCGCTGTATTAGCGGTGAATCAATGGCGGTATGGAAGAAACTTGCCGGTGCAATTATGTTTTTTTTTCTTTGCAGAATTTTCTCAGTGGATGCTTTTTGCTATGTAACATTATCT